TCCCCATGAGAAACGCTCCCCACGTCATGCCCAAATGAAGTACACAGCCACGCCCTGTCCATCTGCGGGTTATGGAGTGTATCTGGGAGACTGGATTGAGAACAGTGTCGAGTAGCTCTTATTAACAGACGAGCTCATGCTGACGCGAAACATCCACCGTCTTTTGAGATCGTTGTACGCACTTCGGTACATTTTGGAAGTGTTATACCTTGCTCGTTCAGATGCTGAGGCGTTCAGGGGCCCGGGTTTGGCGCAGCTCCAGTTCTCCACCAATCAGTAGAAACCGGGATAAAGCCGTACCAAACTTGGTTCCCTGACAGTCCACTGCATACGCAGCTAACAATACTATACCTTCATCGCTGTGAATAATCGTTCGTAGCAGCATTCGAATCTTTGCACCATGACGGGTTGAACTATGGTCGCAGTAATCGAAAACTTGTTTTATAGTGGTAGTTACTCACAGGAACCAAAGATTTGTGTTTGAGTGATTGCATTATGAGCCGTTAGTACGAAACGAAGGGCCGACACCACCTTCGTGCGTTAGTACAGTAATATGAATTGACCTCACCTCAGGCACTGCTTAGTGATGGGTGAATCATGAATGTGATAATAGTGATCCTAAAAAAATCGTTCATTTGTGTACTCTCTAGTTCGCTGCAGACGGTTGGGCGTGTCAGGCAGTATGAGTGTGCACGCCGTCAAAGCCGTTCTCTGCCTTCTTGTTGAAGCGCGCATGCGACAAAAAGTAGTAATACGAACGATATGATACAGTCATATCATTTGCTCGCTTTAACAACTGGTGGAGAACGGGTTTGGCACCGCGCCAAACTCATCCCGCCTGACACGCCAACCATCCGCAGCGAATTACACGGTAATGATCCTACCCTATATAATCGGCTATGTCCGTGCGTATGTGTGTGTCTGTCTGTGTGTCTGTCTGTGTGTCACGAAATTCATAGCGCCGGTCCCAGTAGCAGTGAGACATTGATTTCAAGAAGTGATGTAGGGGGTGTGACGGGAACACAATTGGTGGGTGACAGGAAGTGATATCAGTTGATAAGATCTGATAAGAGGCCTCAAAAGGGACCATATTCGTAATGCGGGTCACAGCATCAGCCAGCTGTTGATTCCAACATATGATGTAGGGTATGGGACAGGAACATTATTGGTGGATGACAAGAACTGTCAGCTGCTGATAAGATTCGATAAGGGGTGTTAGAAGGGTATGGTCACTGAGTCCATCACACGGGTCACATGGTTTGGCACATTTTGCACACTCTACCCCGCCTGAGGGAAGAGTGCCTGGCGAAGGTTTGGCACACACAAGAAATTGAATTTTGCTTCTGTGATTCTTGGCCGGAATCGAAGCAAGTTCCTGTCGATAAGAGGGAAAGTTAAGCGAGGATAAGTGGGTGTGTTACGCTTTAGTATATGCCAGCCTCAGCTGCCGCACTAAAAGGTCTAGTTTCGAGCTTCCTATCCTGAAAGTTGAACATCTGCTACGAAGAAGTGCAGTAGCGGTCAAAAATATGCGGTTTTCGTTTTTTGACCGGC